GGAAAAACATACTAGGTGATTTCAGCTGGATGAGAGACCATGAGTGTGATAGAAGCAGCAGGGCGTGGAGGTCAGATGCACCTGATTCCATCTTGGGTCTGCCACACATTGGCTATATGACCTTGCCTGGTGGCACTTACCATCTCAGAACTTCTGTCTCCTAATCAGCAAAATAGGCTACTACCACCCCCTTCAGAGGGTTCTGAGGTCACATGAATGAGATATTAGATGAAAGCGCAGAGTGTAATAATGTAAAAAAAGTTTCCCTGGCCTGGCAGAACCCCGGTGAAAGTTAATTTTCTCCACTCGTCAGAGTCACTCTCTCGGGCTCCCTCCCTCTCTCCCTCTCTCTCACCTTCCCCCACTCCCTCTCTCTCTCTCCATCTCTTCCTGCCTCCCTCCACCCTTGTTTACTCCACCCCTGTTGTTTTCTATGAACACAGAACTGAGAATACCAGGGGAGAGATCATCCAAAATGAAGAGAAAGAAGATGAAGAAGGTCTTCATGGTTAAAGACAGATTTACAATTTACTTCCACAATACTAATCTGTGTTGAGGGGAGATGGACAAAAGATGGGGTAGAGATGAAGAATGTCAATGAGGCCTATCTCAAGGCGTCAATGTTTAGGCATCTTCGAAGGCATTGAAGCACTTCACATAATTCAGGTTTAATATACTCTCTCAGCACTTGAAATGTATTCCAGAAAGGTGAAGAAGAAAGCATGTTGGCAATTTACAAAGTTTGCTTCAAAACTGCACTGCCCCCATTAGAGCTAGAACCAGTAACTTGAACCAGTAGCAGCAAACTTGGGTGGTAGGCTCCTCGGTTTATGCCTAAAGGACTTAAATCAGAATACTATAATAAAGCAGCCTTATCAAGTTTATAGCAGCTCAATTCACAATAGCCAAGCTATGAACCAAACTAGGTACACTTCAACAGATGAATGGATAAAGAAAATGTGAGATATATATATATAGATATATAGATATATAATGGAATATTACTTAGTCATAAAGAAGAATTGAATTATGACATTTGCTGGCAAGTGGATGAAACTAGAGACCATCATGCTAAGTGAAATAAACCAATCCCAAAAAATGAATGCCAAATATTCTCTCTGACATGCAAATAATAACCCATAACAAGGGAAGGTGGGAAGGGGAAGAATAGAAGTTCATTGGATTAGACAAAGGAGAATTAAGGGAAGGGAGGATGGATGGGAACAGGAAAGACAGTAGAATGAATAAGACATAACTTTCTTATGTTCATCTATGAATACACAACGAATGTAACTCCACATCATGTACAACCACAACAATGAGATCCTAATTAGAATAGGTTATATCCATGTATGTGGAATATGTCAAAATATACTCTACTGTCATGTATATCTAAGAAGAACAAATAAAAAAATAAATTAAGGAAAAAAACAAGTGGTAGGGATGTTTAACAAAAATGCAGCTACTTAAACTACTCCAAGAGATTCTGATCAAGTAGTTCAAGGATGAGGTCTGGTATCTGTATTTTTATCATCTCCCAGGATTCTGTAAATGTAAACCACAGACTTCATTTTGAGAAACACAAGTTTAGTGGTTACAAGCTTGGGCTTGAGGATAATCCTAAATCCACCCCCTTCTAGCTTTATGAATTTCAGCAACTTTTAATTTTTCTGATCTGCATTTTTCTAGTCTTTTTTTTTTGTAGTTGTTGTTGTTATTTTTATTTTTTTAAATCAAAAATAACACACAGTTCAAAATTTTTTGTAAGAATTAAATAAAATATATTGTAGAGTGTTTAACACAGGAAAAAATATTCAATAAACACTAACTAGTGATATTATCATTTTCATGCAAAGCCAAAAGTCTTGAATTCTTTTTTCTTTATCTTTTCATCCTTATTTTCTTTTCTTTTATGAATCCAAAAGACAATACATTTAGCGCAATGGAAGTTTATGCAGCTTTCAGACAAAGTCTAAAGTGAAGTAGTCCAAGATGGGTATAAGCAGCTCTGCAAGCCAGAGCCCTTCCTTCCCTGTTTAGGAGTGGCCCTCAAGATGGCAGCCAGAGCCCCAGGAACCATGCCTCACTTCACATAGGAGGACGGAGGAAAAGAAAGAGAATATCAGTCTCCCTCAGTAAGGACATTTCCTAAAGATGGTTTACATTCCGTTGGCCAGAACTTAGCTACCACACAGGCTGAAAAATGTGACAGTATTCCAGGTAATCATGCACCCAGAAAAAAAAAATGTGTCTTGTATTACATTGAAAAACTGGCAAGAAGGCATATGGAAGGAATGTGGTTTCCCATGCACCCAGCTTAAGAGTCCAGCAGATTTGAGTTGTTCCCAGAATCCTCTGCTTTCATGGTGCTTGGACCATCTTCCTCAAGGAGAGGAGTCACATGGTTTCCTTAGCCTACTCAACTGGCTTATTTGCATCCTAAATTCCTTCATCTTTCACTCCTCACTCCCAGCTTCATTCATTTTCTACCGGTTTTATCAAATTTTAATAAGCAAGACAATTTTTTCATTGTAGAAAAATTTTTAAAAAAACACAGCTAAACACTCAGAAAAAAAATTAGTATTCAAAAATCTGACAACTTGGAAATATGTAACATGTTCGTGTACAGACATCTACCATTTTCCCTAGCATTTTACCTAATACATATATAATGATAACCTAGTCTACATGATGGTTTTTAAGTTCTATTCCACTTACCAGATTACAGATCAACATTAGCAATTTTAGTAACTGCAGAGTGATTCATTGTATGAGTATATTTTGGTTTATACAACGATACTCCTGCTCACAGCCATAACACCGTTAAGCCCTCAGGTACAAACATCTTGCTAACGTTTCCTCCAGTTTCCCCAGGATGAGCTGAGTTCCAGTGGTTTTCTAATTTCTAGGCTTTCCTCACTGCATCCACAGCTCCACCATCCCATCAGCAAAGCAAGATTCAGTCTGATCTCTATCCTAAAGCTATCCAGAATTCCCTTTCCAAAGGAACATGTAGAATCAGAAGATCCTTGATGACCTGAACTAATGCCTCTCTGCACCCCGTAACATGGCAGGACTGCCACAGCGAGAAGGGACTGCTTAATCCCACTGCTCCAAGAAGCACGAACAAAATATGGTCCCACATGCTGCAAATTGGTGCAGCCAATATGGAAAGCAGTATGGAGATTTCTTGGATAATTGGGAATGGAACCACCATTTGACCTAGCTGTCCCTCTCCTTAGTCTATACCCAAAAGACTTAAAAACAGCATACTACAGGGACACAGCCACATCAATGTTTATAGCAGCACAATTCACAATAGCTAAACTGTGGAACCAACCTAGATGCCCTTCCATATGTGAATGGATAAAAAAAAAAAACAAGTGGCATATATACACAATGGAATATTACTCAGCAATAAAAGAGAATAAAATCATGGCATTTTCAGGTAAATGGATGGAGTTAGAGAAGATAATGCTTAGTGAAGTTAGCCAATCCCAAAAAAACAAATGCTGAATGTTTTCTTTGATACAAGGAGGCTGACTCATAGTGGGATAGGGTGAGGGAGCATGGGAGGAATAGACGAACTCTACATAGGGCAGAGGGGTAGGAGGGGAAAGGAGGGGGCTTGGGGTAATTAATGATGGTTGAATGTGATGATCATTATTATCCAAAGTACATGTATGAAGACATGAATTAAATATAATATTGAGTATACAACACAATTGAATATACACAAATTGAATACACTATGTATACAACCAGAGATATGAAAAATTGTGCTCTATATATGTAATAAGAATTATAATGCATTCTGCTGTTATACATAAATTTTAAAAAAGAATGCAAATAAAAAATATATAGTCCCACATGACAGAAAGGATTAGGATTAAACCTAAATTGTTAGAACTTTCAATTTGCCAAACTGACTCCAAGCAAGATCAGAGTGAGGCTAATTCTGTGTAGGGAAAGTAGTTTCAATTGGGGAAAAAAAATTGACTTAATTAATTATTTAGACAGGAAACTGATTTGACAAATGATGATTCACAAGTTGATTTTTAAAAAAATCTGATGATTGATTTCTGACTAATTATTTCTTTGTCTTGGTTGAGCTTCCTAATGATCCAAACACTCACAAGGTTTGCAATTCCTACAGAAGGTTGAAGATGAATGATGTTGCAATTGCTCTCAGAGCGAGCTTTCTATTTCCAGGTGGTTTTCATCTCAATTTTCTTCCCATCAATACTGAGGAACAGGTAGAACTGATAACATTGGTCCTCCATTTTAAATGATGGTAATAAATATCGTATACCATTTTTAATACACTTTTTTTAGATGGCAATGATCTTTATTTTATTTATATGAGGTGCTGAGGATTGAACCCAGTGCCTCTCACATGCTAGGCAAGTGCTCTACCACTGAGCTACAACCCCAGCCCATTATACCATTTTTTGAGCATATATTATGTGATAGGAAAGATATTAAGTCCATTATGGGTATGTTTTATTCCTCACACCAACCTTAATAAGATAGGCATTCTATTAATACCCCATTTTTTTTTATAAATGAATACACTTTTAAAAGAGTTAATAGCCATAATCACACAAGGGGAAAGAGGTGGAGCCAGAATTCAAAATCAGTATAGACCCATAAAGAGTCCCTGACTGACTCACTCAAGTTCACAAAGTTTGTGAGTGAAACCCCCAACATTGTTCCTGAAATAGAATCAGGTGGCCCAAGTTCAGATCCTATGTCTGCCATTTCCTGGCTGTGCCACCTTCACAAGTTACTAAATCACTCTGTGTCTCAGTCACCACCCTATCTGATAAATAGGGATGATGAGTATCTATCTTAAAGGGCTACCTAGATTAAGTGAGACAACACACACACACACACACACACAATTAGCACATAGAATATGCTTCCTTAAAGTTATTCATATTATATTCTGTCCCACCAGCCTCTAAGCTACGTACCTGTTATTTTCTGTGCCACTGCAGGTGCCTCGAGCCAAGGCCTTATGCAACTACAGAGGGCTTAATCCTGGTGACCTGAGGTTCAACAAGGGTGACATCATTCTTCTCCGGAAACAGCTTGATGAGAACTGGTACCATGGGGAGGTCAATGGCATCAGTGGGATCTTCCCAGTCAGCTCCGTGGAAGTCATCAAGCAGCTGCCCCTGCCGCCCCCTCTCTGCAGGGCCCTCTACAACTTTGACCTGCGAGACAAGGATAAGAGTGAGAACCAGGATTGCCTGACTTTCCTCAAGGTAAGACTCTGCTGGCCACCACGGTCTTTGAGGACCCATAGAGACTATTGTAGAATCCAGAGCTGTTTGCTTAATATTTGCTGGTTTCTAAAAAAATATGTTTATTTTATATATGAATATACATGTAAGTGTATGTAACATACCTGTGCAAATATATGCATGTATATATGTACAATAAGTGTGTATGTATAAATCAAACTGCATGGAAGTGAAATCTCTAGAGAAATCTACTAATAAGTGTTCAATAAAAAATTTTAAGCCTTTTTCTATTGCAAATATAAAAATAAGTATTCACACATTGATTCATTCTGAAATCACTTTAGAGCACTTATTCTTTGGAGGCACTGGGAATGAAGCATGAAAAAGTTGCATTTTCTACCTTCATGGCAGAGTAATAGGAGAATTATGTGAACAAAAAATTAGTTTGATCATGTGCTGTATGAAACTACAGCCCTACCTCTTTATTATGTATCCATAGTGGTATTCTTGCCGATGACCAAGTTATGGTCACCTAATTCCCCTTATCTACAACCTTCTATTTGGTTGTAAACATAATATTGAAAACACTCTGAGCACACACAGTAACATAATCATACCTTTATACATAAGTAACCTCTTACAAGATATGTTTTGCAAGCACATGAACTACCCTAAGATATTTTGGCCTCTTTTTTTCATTGTACGCTTCCCCACCATTTACAAATAATGACAGTTGTACTAAATCTAGACCACTTCAACTCTCTGTGTTCAGTGTTTGTTATTCCATAGATATACAAATTCTCATGGAAACCAAAGTAGGAGTTATTTTCACTCTTTTCTATTTATAAAAAGATCAATAAAGGTAAAAGAAGGAGTGCTGCTACCATAGCTCAAGAAGTCTTTGTTTTGTAAAATATCTGCATTTCAGTTCTACCATATATGAGGGACTTAACAGTCCCTCTAGATAACCTCACTGTCCTCCATATTTAGAGATAGTGATCTTTGTTTTTTTCTTGGAATCTCAGAAAGAGACTCCTAAGGCAGGTCATTCTACAGGCCAAACTGCTAAATTGACACTTAGACTGTAGTTGGAGGAAGGGCAGCTCAATTCCATGAACACTTATTGAGTATTTACTTTGTGTTAGACATGATTAAATACTGAGCTCTGGGGACACAGAGGAAAACATGAGCTGGAAGCACTACCTGCTTCCCTGACCCTCTCCAGAAATTTACTTCACACTCTCACTCATGCCGTTTACTTCACACTCTCACTCATGCCTTGAGCCCATTTATGTACCAAGTCAGCCATTGGGGAAAAAGTAATCAGTCAGCGTCCCTACCTTCCTGGGGCTGTGTCTAATGCAAGAAACAGACTTGTGGAAAATTTTGACCCAGGAGTCCAGAGAGAGCATTTGGTCCATTCTGGAGGAGTGCGGAATGCTAAGGCTCCACTAGGAAGTCCTAAACTCAGCATGTCCAAATTAAACTCAAGATCCTTGGGGCTGGGGTTATGGCTCAGTGGTAGAGTGCTTGCCTAGCATGTGTGAGGCACTGGGTTCAATTCTCAGCACCAGATATAAATAAATAAATTCATAAAATTCCATCAATAACTAATAAAAATTTTTCAAAAAAAATTCTTCCTCCAATGATGCTCTCTCCTTCATGCTTTTTCTGTAAGTTAATTGTATTTTCAGACACACATTCATGTACTCATCCATGCTTGTATATATTCTAGAAATATCTATTGGATACCTATTGCATGGGAGATACCACATTAGGTGCTGAGAATGACAGGAATGAAAAAAAACAGACACAGGCCTTGCACTCATGAACTTTATATTCTGTTAGGATGGTCGGGCATTAAACAAATCATAACTTGAAATGTGTAATCAAAAATTGTAAAAAGGTCAAAGAATGCTAAAAAAAAAAGCGGGAGAGTATAATTTGGTAGTGAATTTTAGATTTGGATTGATTTAAGTTGCTTAGGAGCATAAAGCAGCTCAGACAGCCCAGACGGTATATTCTTTTTTCTTTTTTTCTTTTTGGTACAAGAGATTGAACCCAGAGGTGCTTAACCATTAAGCCACATCCCTTTTCTTTTTTCTTTTTTCTTCTTCTTTTTTTTTTTTTTTTTTTGCAACAAAGTCTTGCTAAGTTGCTTATGGTCTCCCTTATTTGCTGAGACTGGCCTTGAATTTGCAATCCTCTTGCCTCAGCCTCCTGAGTCACTGGGATTACAGGCATGCAACACTGTACCCAGCCCAGACAGTATATTCTTTAGTAGATGAATATACAGGCTTAGATTGCTGAACATGTATGAATATGTAAAGAGGTTCCTGATATAGTATTAAGTTCAAAAAAATCATTGTGTCCTGTATAAAGTACAAGAATATGCAAAATGAATTTACAGTACTAGAAATCAGAATAGTGGGTACTTTGGGCTCAAGAGTAGGAAAGGGCACAAAAGAGCCTTCAGGGTGCTGTTTCTAGATCTTGAGTTGAATGGGGCAGGGAGTTCATGGCCATAGTTAAATGTAGAAATTCTTCCATATTTTCATCTAAAATTTTGTCCTTTTTTAAACACATGTACCTATATTTTTGAAAAAGTTTTTCTAAATCAATATGTTTATAGGTACATAAGTTTTCATCTTGATACAAAAAGAATCTGGAAAAAAATGTATTAACCAACTGTTAGCAATTGTTGTATCTTTGTGGTAGAAATTTTTTCCTTATTAGATTTATCTGTATTTTCAAATATTTCTATAAATTTACAAATAATCTTTTGTAGTAAGAAACATTTGAATAAAAAATGCTTTATGTTTGGTAAATTAAAATGAATAGGTTTTGAAAGTCTTCAAAATAGGAATGAAATTCATTCTTCTTTTGCCAAACTAAAAGCATGTCTCCCTATGAACTTCCATCTTGATCTCCAGATTAATTTAAATGACAAGTCTGGATTCTGCTGGTGATTGAAATTATAAGAATTTCCAAGTTTTCCTATTAGATTCCATTGATCTTCCAAATTATTTCTACCCCCTCTTGTAGTCTTGGTGACCTCAGTATTGCCCTTTATGGGGAAGTTGTATTTTAACAGGTAGATTTCCTAGATAAATCATGCAAGAGCTACATTGCTGTACCTCATCTGAGACTCCAAACTCATCAGCAAAAGCTCTACAGCCTGAAACCTGAGAGCAAATGCTGACTGCAAGACTTTCTCTTTCAGGATGATGTCATCACTGTGCTCAGCCGAGTGGATGAGAACTGGGCAGAAGGCAAGTTAGGAGACAAAGTAGGCATCTTTCCCATCTTGTTTGTGGAGGTATGTGAGTATAAAGTCTATACCTGATTCGAGCTTACTCAGAAATATACATGTGCCCCCAGTGATGCCTGAGACGAACACTTACTTGACAGGAGGTGTATTTCAGAAGTAACTATAGTTTCTTTAAAAGATACCCAACTCTGGCCGTAGTGGGAAGAAATGCACCTTTTCTATTCTGCTGCCAAGAATGTAAATTGGTGAAATCTCTCATATCCAAACTCTAATAAATTCATACCAAGAACCTTAAAATATACACCTCCGTTGAGTCAGCAGTTCTACATCTGAGATCTGATTGTCATGAAATATTTATATAAGTATGCAAACACATATGTACAAAAGATACAGAAATGTTCATCATAGCATTGTATATAATGGTGAAAAAACAAATAATCTAAATATCCACTGATGAGGATTTAATGTTTAAAATTATAGTGATAGATATGTATATGCCTATTAAAAACAATGGTGGGGGATAATATTTAAAATCAAGGAGTATTTGATATTATAGAAAAATTCATGATTTATTGTTGAGTTAAAAAAATATTTTAATGAGTGCAGAGTTTTAGATTCACCAGATGAAAAACTTCTGGAGATTTGATTTATAACTCTGTGAATATACGTAATACTACTAAACTGTACACTTTAAGATAGTTAAGATAGTAAATTTTTATATGTGTTTTGTACCACAATAAAAAAGCTACGTGAAACTAGCTTTATAAATATATATGTGCATATAAATAGAAAAGGAACTAGAAAGACACGTACCAAAATATTAACAGTAACAATAAGTAGATGGTGAAATTCAGGATGATTTTCATTTTCTTCTGTCAGTTTGTATTTTCTAAATCCTGTGAAATGAGCATAAGTGTATTACTTCTGTGGGATTTTTTAAGCTCATTTATTTTTAAAAAATCAGGAAACATGCTAGGCCATCTATCTATTCCTCCAGAATAATAATATAACCCGTAGTCCCTGACCCCACTAGCCATGAGCCTCACCCTGGCTTGAAGCAAGTCACTACAAATTTAAGAGAGATTTCATTGTTTAGCCATTTATTGGGCGCTTACTCTGCAGAAGCATGAAAAATGAGTTTTGGAGAGCTATGAAAGAAATTAAAGGTGTGGTCTCCCCTTCTAGAAGGATGGGATGAAAACAGAACAGAGGCATAGTTTGGCAAAAGAGACCAATTCCTCCACTCATAAAAACCAAAGCAGTTGTGAGTGGATGGGTGCCCAGAGCTCCGGCTGGCTCTCCAGGTTCTCTGTACCTCTACTCCATCAGTGTTGAAGGAATGGACAATTAGAGGGACAGATGGGAAAGGGCCCAGAAAAGTTGTTCTTTTTACTGTCTCTGTCAAAAGATAATCTCATTTCTGATGCTCTTTTCTCTTGCTGGGACCCCTGCAGGCACATCCATCCAGTACTTTCCACCTGTTCACTCATTTTATAAAGGCTCGGTTAGAAATCCACATTCTCATGAAATTTCAGCAATTAGTTGAACACAATGGTTTCTTTCCTTTCTGAACACCTGGCAGGTGTGTTGGTTGTACTTCACAAGCTAGCATAACAAACAGAACGGAATTCTGTAAAAAAAAAAATGATAATAATAAATAAATAAATAAAAATCAGCTTGCTGAGCATGTGAAAAACCTTGGATCCAATTCCCACTGAGAAAAAGGAATGAAGGAAAGAAGGATGGAGGGAGGAAGGGTGGGAGAAAGAAAAAAGTATATTGCTTAACAAATCCATGAATGAAAAACTATTTGAAGGTGGCCAGAAAAAAAAAATTAGAGGACAAACCATCCAGTATGACCCTGTCCTAAAAACATTCAATCATTCAACTAATTTTTCAGTGGGAGCCTGCTATGTCAGGTCCTGTGCTAAGTTCTAAAGACACAGATAGATATGGGTCCCTACATTTGGAGATTACAGAGTTGGATGTTCAGGTAACTACAAGTGTGCTAATGATGTGAAGGGTGAAGCAGGAGGAAATATGATGGGTTATCTTCTGGGGTGGGAAGATAATCAAGTGGTTGCTCTAACTTACCTTGGCTAGGGGATAACAAGCCAAGATCTGACAGATGATTGGAATTACATAAGTTAAGTATAGAGGGAAGAGCATTGGGGGAAATGGAGATATCTTATGCAAGAGTCCCATAACACAAGGAAATGTAGTGTGTCTAAGGGACCAAAAGAATGTCAGAGCTGGAACTTAGAGAGAGTGACAGAATAACAAAAATTGAAGCCATAGAAGTAAATGGGAGGCAGGTCACTGATGGCTTTGTAAACCATGTTATATAGTCAGAAGGGTCTAGGTGATGCTGCTGTAATAAATAGCACTGAAGTCTCCAACTTAACAAAGAAAATGTTATTTCTCACCTATGATGTTTATCAAAGGATGGTGAGAATTTCTGCTCACATAGTCACTCAGGAACCCAGACTAATAAGGCTAGGTCATCTTATAACTGTACTATCTGGAACATGTGGATTTCCTCATTTCCACAGGAAGAAAAGAGTGAGTTGTGTACCAGCAATTAAATGCCTCAGCTCAGAAGTGACACTTCCTACTCCCACACATAGCCCATTGCCCTGAACTAGTCATGTAGGTCCACTCGACTGCAAAATAGGTGAGAAGTATGGGGGAACACATGGAATACTTGGGTGAATATCCTCTGTGCCATATCATAAGAAGTTTGGATTTGACCCAGAGGTCAAAAAAGCCTTGAAAGGTTTTAAGTGAGGTAGTGATTTCCTCAGAAATCACTTGTTTCTTAATGGCTGTTCTGACTGCAGTGAGAAGAATATTTTGAAAAGGAGGGAGAAATAAAACAAAGAAACCCTTTAGGAGGCTATTGCATGGCTCAGTTAGCAGATGATTGTGGCTTAGACTAGTGGAGAGGAAACAAGTGAACACATTCAAGGGCCTCTTAGCAGACTGAACTCTAGAGATATGGGGATCAAAGAAGTGGAGGACAGGAGAGAGGAAGTGGTCAAGAGGTACCTCGCTTTCTGATTTGTGTGCCTAAGTCAGTGGTGGAGCCATTTGCTGGGTCAAGTAACCTTTGCTGAATAGAAACAATAATGATGACTGGGAGACAATGGTTAACTCTCCATAGACAGAGATCAGCTGTGATTAGTACCCAGCTGGACACGTACAAAGTGTGGAAATTCTTGCATGATCTCTTGCATTCATAGTGGGAAGGCACCACTGATTTTATTACCCATTTCTGAAACCCCCTTTTCCCAAAACTTTTACATTTAATGATTATTCATTGGGTACTCTCCCTACCACTTTACCTCTAAAATTAGTGATTACAAGAACCCTCCAAATTATCATCAAACTAGCCATTGCTTCATTTGTTCTCCTAATTGCTAGGATGGGAAAAGATAATCAAGTGGTTGCTCTAATCTGGGAACCTGCTTTTCAAAAATTACTTGAAATCTAAATGGAGGTTTTTAAAGCAGTACTTCAATTTTGACTCCAGTAATTTCATTAAGACTAGCACTTGCTGAGAACTCTTTAAATAAGCTCTGAATTACCAGGGTTTTGCAAAGCAATCGGAAGGAAGAAAGGCTTTCTTATGTGGGTGATGCATTTTTTTGACATCAACAGGATTTTTCCTGTTAGTGTGTCATTTGATTTATTGAATTGCACCTGCATAAAAGGTGGTAAAGCAAACACTGAGCTTATGCCATTCTTGTCAGGACTTCTCCAACGGGGCCTGCCTGGGTTATTCGAACCTTGCTCAGCTCAGTGAACCTCAAGGATATTGTTTCAAATGAGTGGGTGCAAATCTAAGAGACCTGCAACCCTTCCCCAGCTGAGCTATTAATCACACAGGCAAAGGAAAGGGCTGATGCAGAGACTCCTGGGACTCTTTGTCAATATTGTGATAGAAAAGCCAATGGTGGTACTCACCTGGGGGCAGAGCAATGAGGTCAAAGCAGAAAAAAAATGACTAATTATAGTTGTGGATGGCTGCAAAGAACATTACTTATTTAATTCAAAGAGTATTCATTGACCTTTTACTGGGTGAAGCATGGAGGGGCAGGTGCTCTGGGGATAAGGCATTGTCCCTAGTCCAGGCTGCCATCAGAGCCTGCCTGAATAATTTCAGTAACTTTGAATTTGTTTTTTTACTTCTGTTCTGGAACTTCTTAATAATAACCATAATGAACTTTTTGTTTATTTTATTTACATAAAGTTTGCTCTCTCTTCTTGGTGTCCAATTCTATAAGTTTTGATAAATGCATATACTTGCATAACCATATCACAAATCAAGGTACAGAATAGTTCCAACACTTCCCCCAAGAACCCCTCATGCTGAAATTCCTTGCCCGGCTTTCAACACCTGGCAACCTCTAATCTGTTTTCTGTTCCTATATTTTTCTTTTTCCATAATGTCATATAAAATGAATCATAAGGAATATAACTTTTTGAGTCTGGCTTCCATCACTGCATAAAGCATTTGAGATTCATATGTTGTTTCACATATCAATAACTCATGCTTTTTTGCCGAGTAATATTCCATTGTATGGATGTATCAGTGCTGGTTTATATCAATTGTTAAAAGACCCTGGGGTTGTTTCCCATGTTGACAGTTATGATTAAAGCTGCTTAATCCTGCATGCTTGAGAAAAGAGGATGGTAAATTAGAGGCCAGCCTGGGCTATATAAGGAGAACCCATCTCAAAAAAAAAAAGTTGCTATAAATATTTCCATACAGATTTTGAGTGAGCATAAATTTTTATTTCTCTTGAGTGATTACTTAAGAGTGACATTGCTGGGTCACATGCTAAGTATGTGTTTAACTATAAGAAAATGCCAAACTGTAACATGAGCTTCTGAAAACATAAATCAGATCATGTCGCTTCTCTATATAAATCCTGCCAAAGGCTTCCTATTACACTTAACATAAAATTGGAGCCTCAGAGGCGCTCAGTGATCTGGCCCCCGCCTCCCTCTATGACCCACTCTTTACCGCCTCCTCAGCTACTCCATTCCATCCTTCTGTCTCTTTCTCGTCTTTTCCTCAAACAGGCCAAGCTCCTTCCCTCTTTAGAACTTTCCCACTAGCTTATAATACTTCCACCTGGAATGTTCTTACCCCCATTTTCACATCATGTTATCTCAGCTTTAAAGTCACCTTCCCAGAGAGTCTCCTTTGACTTCCCAGCCTACCACAGACACTTCCCTCAAATCTGCTCTTGTCTTGTTTAGTCGTCTACATGCTGGCTGTGTCATGGATGTCACTCTCTCTAGACCTCAGCTTTCTTATCTTTAAAGTGGACATCATCTCCCCCCTACTTGAGTTTTTCACAGTAGTCAAGCTTCTCAAGGTGAAAATTATGTCTCTCTTTAAATTTTTCCCTCCAAGCTATTTAATCCTCTACGAATTGTCTTTTAAAAACTTCTTAAGTAGAAAATTTTCATCTTACCCCTGTAGTTGAGTTTCTAAATTAGAATGATACATGTGGATTTAGAAAACAACTGCTGGCAATTATAATAAAGGGGATTTAAGTAATTATCCTAAAATTTCAGTTAATAAATATGAACCTTGTCTTGTCAACCTGTTTCACATTTCCCAAGGAAATAAACCCACAAGCGTTCTCAGTGAGTTGAGTACTCAAAAGATATTTGTGAGAATTGACCAATAGGGTAGAGAAGGCAGAGGGTAATTCAGTGGTGTGCTGGAACTGGCTGGTACTAGAGCAAAAAAAACAAACAATCAAAACAAACAAAGTAGGTTATTACATTTTCAGGAATTTTGTTAGTCAACTGGCAGGTTGGTAAAGAGATCATGGCTTTTCCTTTTTTTTTTTTTTTTTTTAATGTGAGGTGAGTCACCAGCACACTGCTGACTGCAAGGTATAGAACAAGAGAGAAAGTGAAGAGATGAGAGTATTTCAAGGAAGTCGTAAAAGACAATCAGCATAGAAATCAGGATCTCAAAATCATTTGCCTTCTGGTTCAAACATTTGTTAAATGTATGAGTTTGAGCAACTTTACTCACCCACAAATACTCACTATATAGTCATTCTGGGATACAGGACAGAATAATATATATAAGGTCCTTGTCCTGGAAGGCTCACAGGCCAGTGGAGAAAGGCAAGTCAACAATTTCAGTATGGAATGAAAAACTCCCTGATGGGAAGCACAGTGGCTGCTGGAGCCCTGAGAAGGCTGAGCAGCCCACCCTGGGGGCCTGGGGGTGGGATTCGGAGATGACTAAGGCAGGCAGAATCCAGGAGGTAAAAAAGGCTGAATGCAACTGGGAGAAATGGGTAAAGGAAGAGTACTCCAGATGGGGAAAGAGTATCGCGGGTCACTTTTAAACCTTTGGACCACAGTAAAAATACCTACTTTGCAGGAGAGCTGTGAGATAATAGCACATTGATAAAAGGTGAGAGCTGTGAAGGAACAGCCCTCTGAACCAGTGACCAAGGTGGCACCTAGCCAGGCATCAGACTAGCTTAGATGGGACTTCACTACCACAGAGATCAGAAAAATTAATTTCTCACGGGACCTTCTGTCTTTTCAGCCAAACTTCACCGCAAGACAACTTCTAGAGAAGAACAAAGGGCGCCCATCATCCCGCACAAAAAACCTGTCCCTGGTGAACTCATCTTCCAGAGGCAAAGCGACCAACATGCCCACCCTCCGCAGGGTCCCAGGATCCAGGAGGAAGGCACCAGGACAGTTTTCCATCACAACAGCCCTGAACACCCTCAACCGGATGGTCCACTCTCCTTCAGGGCGCCATATGGTGGAGATCAGCACTCCAGTGCTGATAAGCTCCAGCAACCCCTCTGTGATCACCCAGCACATGGAGAAGGTGGACTTCCCTCCCAGCTCTGCAGCACAGGTAGGAAGAGATCCCTGGGAAGAAGGGAAACTTGGAGGTAGACAAGGGATCCACCCTAGGTCACAAGTGATATTTGATGCTTAGTCCTTGCAAAGCATCCATAACCCATGAATATTAACTAACGTAATAAGTATTACATATCGGAACTGTGTATGTGATCTCATTTCATCCTTGAATAGCCTGTGATTTAAGTAGTAGTATTATTATCCCCATTTTAAAGACGAGGAAACTGAGGCACAGAGAGCTTAAACTACTTTTCTATCCCATGCTAAGTGCGATCCCATGACTCCTGTCCCTTTGAGAACTTCTCCCCAAGGAGATGATGGCTCCCATTTTCCGGAGATGATTTTGTCTTATGTCAGACTCACTGTCCCATCCTCGAGCAAAATATTAGGAATCACAAAGAAAAAATGCAAATATCTACACATGACTGAGTGTTCTCAGGACTGACCACATAAGTTTGTGGGACCCAATCCCAAATGAAAATTCAAGTCCGTTGCTCAAAATTTATTAACAATTTCAAGATGGCAAGAGCAGATCACAAGTGATAGCCCTGAATGTCTACATGGGTCACATACACATGAAGCCGGCTTGGGTGATTTCATAAGGCGCACCTAATGAAATAATGCATGTAAAGTACTTGGCACAGTGATTCCTGGCACATACCAAGCTCCCAGTAAGCATGAGCTCCTAATACTATTTCTATTGTTTAATCCTGGTCACTAAGTAGCCCACTGAAGAGAGATAAGTCAAGGTGCATTGTGGCAATCCAGAAGCTGAAGTACTTCTAACAGAATGTGGCTATTTAGGTTGAAGGGCACTTTAAAAGATGAAGGAGCAGAGGTATGAAGCAAAGTAATTAAGAAGAACTGCATGATGGGTGTTCAGCCGAAAACACTCCTTGGAACCACACAGGTGGCAACTTGAAAGGACAAACCACAACTTGCTCTGATATATTTTTTTAAGAAGCTGTAAATCTTGTTTTTAAACATGAATTTCTACCTTGGGATTAGATGGCTTAATTGGACTCTAATCCCTTTTTAACAAGACAAGGAGGAAGAAGAAAGTCAAGGGCTCCTCAAAGACCTGTGTGCTGGTCTGAGAGGAAAACAATCACGTCCTACACCACTCTGTATCTTCTACCACTGTCTGGGTTGCTAAGAGGCTGGCTGCTTGTGGGATTCTCCCCACCACCTGTGCTACACACATGTGCATCCACATGTTCTCCTCCGTGTACATCCTCTTTGCATCAAAAGTCTTTAAGAACTTCTTACACATGCATTCCAAACACTGTTTTACTAGTACATACATGCTTTGTGCTCAAAGTTCTTCTTCCACCTCTCTCTCTCCCTCTCTCTCTCAAATAAGGGCCTAATGACTCATAATTAAGCCAAAGAGTCACAGAATATTTTGAAACCATTCTTTATATAGAGACATAGATATATAAAGTACAGCCCACACTCGATAGAAGTAAGTTAGCTCACTCAGCTGTGAGTTGGCTGAAAAAGATGTAGGCAAGAGTCATTTTCCCTGTGCCTTTTAAATTCTTTTTATAATTTTGAATCTTTTTTTATGTTAGTGCTTTATAGTTATACCTGGTGGGGCTCATTTTGACATATTCATGGCTGCATATAACATTTTTTCTCCATTTCAATCCCCAGTATTTCCCTCACCTCCTTCCTCACCTTGGTCCCCTTCTTCTACTCTATTGGTCTTCTTTCCATTTATTTTTTTAGTTGGTACATTATAGTTATGTATAATGAATTAGAATGCATATTCATACATGCACATAGCATAATTTGGTCAACTTCCTCCCTTAGTTCTTCTCCTTTCCCTCCCTCCTTCTTAGTCCTCCACTTCTACTTTATTGATCTCTTTTCTATTTTAACAAGATTGCCTTTTTTTTTAATTCCTTTTTTCTCTCTAGCTTCTGAATATGAGAGAAAACATTCCACCCTTGACTTACTTAGTCTGGCTTATTTTACTTAGCATGATATTCTCCAGTTCTATCCATTTGCCAGCAAATGGAACAATTTCATCTTCTTTATGGCTGAGTAGAACTCTGTTCTGGTTATATATACAGCATTTTCTTTATCCATTCATCAACTGATGGACACTTGGGCTGGTTCTATGACTTGGCTATTATGTGCTGCTATAAACATTGGTATGCACATATCTTTATAGCATGCTGATTTTAGGTCTTTTGGATAAACAACAAGGAGTGAGATATCAAGGTCATGTTGTGGTACCATTCCTACAACCTTGAGGAATCTCCAACCTTCTTTCCAAAGTGATTGTATTAATTTACAATCCCACCAACAATTTATTAGTATACCTTTTCCCCCACATCCTCACCAGCAATTATCATTATTTGTATTCTTAGTAATGGCCATTCTAACTAGGGGAAGATATTCCTGGACATTTACTTTATCTACAGAGAGGCTGAACCAGAGTGGGAGAATCCCAGTAGCATTCAAAACAAGTATTATTCCTTTCTAGTTTTCACAAACAGTGAGAATTACAAAGTATGGGCTTTCACATATCCCATTCCCAGGGAACCTCTGTGTGGTACTGATGGCCTTTTCTCAATTCAGATGGTATGGATTATAAATATTTACATATGTTTGTCCAGGTGTTATCAAAATGCCAAAAAGAAGCTAAAGATAAGAGAAATGTTAAACAAATGGAAAAAAAAAAAAACAGTTCCCCTGCTTCCTTTTTCTCTAACATCCTCAAGAGAGCTGTGGTTGGGTCTAATTTATGACATTCCCCTTGGTTTCCCCATACTAACACCCCACACAGTTCTTGGACCCTAATAAGTGCTCAATAAAGTAAATAATCAAGACTTTTGATTTAAACATCTGGGCAGGTGGTGACAAACTTAGGGAAGACTGGAGAAATAATTAATTTCCTATAGAAAGATTACTGATCCGTGGGATTCTTTCAATTGATAAATATCCATTAAGATAGGTATGGTGTGCACACCTGTAATCCCAGCTACTTGGGAGGCTGAGGCAGGAGGATCATAAGTTTGGGGCTAGATTTGGCAACTTGGCAAGACCCTGTATCAAAATTTTTTTAAATAATAATAAAAAGGTCTAGGGATATAGCTTAGTGGTAGAGCACCCCTGGTTCAATCCCCAATACCACAAAAACATAATCCATTAAGTGTTTACATTCTGCTAATAATACTCATAGTGCAGACTAGGGATTCTACTACCAAAATAACAAAACATTAATAATAATCTCAAACTTTACTGAAGTCAATATAAGATGGATAGATGGATAGATGATAGATAGCTGATTGACATCCTCTGAGAGCAAAGTCTTCTTTTGCTGCCAGCCTCCTAAGTCCTGTTCTCTATCCATAAAGTGTGGTGTGTGGTAATTGGTAAGAATATATTAAATTGCTTATCAGCAAGGAATTTAAGACCCCCAGAGAGAAATAATTTAGGCAAATTCATGTAATTAGTAACGAGTCTGGATTGACCTTAGAACCATCTGAATCTAGAACATAAGTTCTTGGCACTACTCTATGCTGTCAACCAAGAACCACATCAGGAAACATCCTTAGGCCGCTGCAGTTTATCCTAGAAGTCTGGAGCCTACTCTTCTTTATTGTCTTGTTTGACTCTTTTTGACTTCATGACTTTCCAGCTTTCTCTTCCCAGCATGCCATTCAGTAAAGAATTTGTCCTGTCTTTGGCACCTGAAGAGGGTCATCACTTTGTTCCTTAATGAGCTACGAGCTCTCTCCAAGCCTTCATTGTGTGTGGTGGCAACGGCACTAAGAAGAAGCTGTTGCTAGCAGGGATATAAAAAATAAATGGCTAACTGTAGTGGAGTTATGGGTTCCTAAAGTAAAAGGAGGAGCCTGGTGGTAGCCACAAAGACTCAGGAGATGCAGAGACTCAGACACTAAGAACCTAAGGATGAAGGTCTTTGACACCTCTCTAAGGAAAAGAGAGAAGAGAGGCATCAGATCCAGAGTTTGGGGCAAGCTATTTCCCATTTCTAAGTCAAATAATATTGTTCTTACTATGTTGTTTGGTGATAACTGGTGTCTTAAAAGTGAGATCAGTTTTTTGTTCACAGAAATGTATAAAGATTTTTAAATATTTTGTTTAAATTGTAAGGACTTTTTTCTTAATCGGGAGAATAGTAAGTTAATCAAGGTACAAGTTGGGATGCAATGAACATTAGAAAACACTGATCCCGGTGGCACATGCCTGTGATCCCAGCATCTCAGGAGGCTGAGGCAAGAGAATTGCAAGTTCAAAGCCAGCTGCAGCAACTTAGCCAGGCTCTGAGCAACTTAGAGAGACCCTGTCCCCTGTCTCACAATAAAAAAATTAAAAAATTTTAAAAGGGGATGGGGATATGTCTCAGTGGTTAGGTGCCCCTGGGTTTAATCCCTGGTACCAAAAAAAGGAAAAGAAAAGAAAACACTGATCTCAAATAAATACACGTAAAACTAGAGCACATGCGGTGCTACGGAAGCAGAGAGGAGCACAGTCTGTTAAATTTAGTCTCATGATCCCTAAGATGAATATTTGACTGTTAGTCCCTTCTTTGATCATGTAGCAAAATGTCCAGAAAATTTCTTTTAGAAAGTCGTAAAGCATAAGCCAGGGAGATTAGAGAGTAAGAAGCCATTTTTCTGAAATCATACCAGTTAAATAGCCTGGCTTCCCTCCTGTGGCAGAAATAAATCTAGGATTGTCCTCAAGCCTTAAACATGCCGAGTGTGGTGGTGCACACCTATAGTCCCTGCTAGTCAGGAGGCTACAGTTGGAGAAACACTTGAATCCAGGAGTTTGAGACCAGCCTGGGTTATATCCTAAGACCCCATCTGAAAAAATAGTCTTTAACACCAAAGAATTGGGAATGTTATATTCTCATAAAAATAAGCCAGACCAAGGAATTTTGTTTTCCCATTGTCTTAATGTCTTCCTACCTGGAGGAAACCACTTGACGCTTCTGGGTAGAACATTGGGAAA